TATAAAGCAATTAGTAGAGCATGCATCGTACACTAAATGGAAAATTATTATACTTAGGTTAGATTTTCCTATAGTTTACTATGCGGAGCTCTACTAATTGCTTATTATCAGTGGGTGATACTGGTGTTGATTTCTGTTCAGTTCTATATATTGATATTTGATTTATTTTAAATACAGTAGAAATACATAATTACGAACCCCGACTGTAATTCTAATAAAGACAGGTGGTGGCAGCTCCGACACCACATACTCAGAATACCAAAGACTTTCCAAGTTAAGTTTCAAGAAGAACATTGGCTATTATCAATTGCTTTTCAACAAATTAAAACAAAATTCTTTCCTGTAAGACGAGTTTTGTTTCCCCATGTAATGTTATGTGTAAGGTTGTGTTTCTAGGGGCAGATGTGCAAAAGGGGTGCCGAAAGTGGGGCTGATCGGGAAAACCTTACTATAGGGAATCCGGGGCTTTCGCCAACGATTTTTTTTTCTAGTCGCCCAAGAATAATCGTAGAGGTGTTTTGGGCGATCAAACATTTCTTATTTACTTCTTCCACTCCCCCCCTTTTTTTACATTACAAACGACAGGGTGGGATGGAGCCGGCACGGTCCCCCTCTCAACCTGCCCCTGGTTTATAACTCCTGATCAAGTCGTCCGGTCTCTCCCAGAAAGCAAACAATTTCTTGCATTTATAACATTTAGTTTAAAAGTTAGTTTCATAATTAAATAAAATTACCCATGTTAAAACCTAGGTGTGCTAAGGGTAACCCTGTAGCCTGTACTTGGCTGTAGATCTATAAATGATTTCCTGTTAGATTCTATATGGATTTTATTTTCTTTTCAGGCTCAGAAAGAAACCATGTATCTCGCTTTATTATGCATTTTGGTTTTTGCTTCATCGGGCTACGGAGAGGATGAAAAAGAAGTTCTTGACAAGGTCAATGCTGGTGTAGAAGCCGGAAATGCGATCGTCGAAGTTCTTAGTGATGAAAACTTGTCAAAGACTTTTGGTAAAATCGCCACGATCGCCTCGAAAATTGGACCATTTCTGGGTGCCATTGGTCCAGCAATAGCGTTGATTTCCATATTCTTGCCAGATTCACCGTCTCCAGAATTGCAATATATGAAGAAAAAATTCGCCGAAATGGACCAGAAGTTCGACAAAGTCTTTACGAAATTTGAAGAAGTGGAAAATCTTATTCAAGAAACATCCCTAAAAGCTCAGTATGGCGAATACGAACACACAATATCGGCTTTGTCTTATCGTCTACAACAGTTTCTGAGCGCTCCAACTGATGCAGTACAAGGACAGAAGGAAACGTTTATCAGTGCTTACGAGTCGTCTTACGGCAGCGCCACATACAAACTCTGGCGCGGTATGATGGAGGACACTGTTCTGTCGGATAACATTCCGGAAACAGCCATAAAATATACAGACAACAACCGCGGACGAGTTCAAGGCATTATGAAAGGAGTTACAAACTTAATATTACAGGGTGTGAAAGTCCATTTATCTTACCTGAAAGCCAAAGGTCGAGATGCCACATATGAAGATGAAAAGAACACTTGGGAAAACAATATCATACAGTTAACTAACCATATGAAAATCGTGGACGAAAAGGTGACCAATGCTTGGTATACACAGGTCGAAATCGATTTAAATAACAATTTGGCTTTGTTAAATGGCAAGAGTAACAGTGATTTCGCTGACAAATTCTATGCATTCCTAAATGAAAAATATGATTGGAGGTATTGGAACATTGTTGTTTACAACCCAATCAGCGGAGGAGACAATCATTGGGTGAAATGGTGTGGCGGGTATCATTCATTCCGCAAGCATGGCAGAAATGTCGTCATATCAAGCGTTGATCAAGGAAAAGTGGCCATTGATACAGAAAAGGCCAAAAAAGTACTCAATACGGTCCCAACTCGTATTAATTTTGGCATTGTTATTAATTTTCCAGCTAACACGGTTTACGCTATGCTTCCGGCTGAATTTAGGAATGGGTGCACTTATGCGGGAGTAGGCGTCATAGAGAAAAACGCAAATGTTCAAAACCGGGCCCCAAATAGTCGCCTTGCTGTCGTCGACAATGGTAGGTACAACCTTCATGCGTTTGGTTAAATAAGTGACGCACTAGCTTAAGATAAACGGTTCAGATTTCTGTTAGTGCTTTCTTTTACATAAAGTGTTTGGGTAGTTATGGTGTTTGATAATTTCTAAGGTAAAACAAACTAAATTGACGAACGAATTGACTAGATTATTAAACTTGCCAAAAGTGTATGATTTCAAGGATAGTATGTAAAATGCACATCTAGCTTTATTATTATTATAAGCATTATTAGCAAACACATATCTTTTGATTGCAAAACTGCTTTATATCAGCTATTTTAAAATATTTAAATTTAAGTTTGTACACACTGATAGGCCTATAGGAGCTACATTTGATAGTCGATCCTTTTGATTCAAAATATGCTTCATATCAACTATGTGAAATACCTGAATTTAAGTCTGTTGCTACAATGATATAGCTGCTATTTTGAAATAATTTGAATTTAAGTCTGTTGATACACTAATACAGCAGCTATTTT